ACTGCACATGCACAGAGGCATCAGGGACTTTCACCACCCTCCCCCATATTCACATTCTTGTCTGAAACACACTCAACATACTCATGGTTTAATACTGTACTTTCCACTAATGACATGAAGTCCTGAACCTTTAGACCCCTTGCTATATTCTAAACACAAACCTATACTTGTTACTTAAACACACAACCCAAAACTACTTTATAGTTGGTCCTCATAGGGATAGAAATACAGGAACTCTGTGACACACACATCACACCTACACACATGGAAGTGACAGCTGCCAGTGTCCGTCAATGACATCATCTGGCCCCAGGGTGGTATCTTTACAGCGGCGAGTGGTATATGTCACACCCTGTGTGGCAGAGTCCTACACTGACAGATCAACTGTTTGGAGAGGTCACTGCCTGTTGCAGCAGGTCCTCTATTAGTATGTAATGTACTGTATGTAGTGTCAGGTGAGTGCCCAGTTTTTAGCCAGATTGACATGTTAAGCGTTGCAAAAATGTGCCTACAAATCAAGCAACAATTAGTAAGTGAAGGGGAGATATGTACAGTATTTTCTGCAGTTGGTGAATCGATGTAAAGGCACAAGATCTGACTCTTGTGACCACTTTTAAAATAGCACCAGTAACATCAAATGCGCAGTGTATTTTATTCTCATGTGTCGGCTCTTAGGCTGCATACAGCTTCCTATTCACAGTTTGAGCTGAAAACGCTGTTAGTTGAAGTGAGCTCATAGTGCAGTCGACTGTGGGACATCCCGGAGAGGACACACTGAGAGGGCCCAGACTGCGCTTCAGGAATGTGGGGCCATTTTTAGACTGTTTGTGCTGATGTTGTGTCACAGGCCAGTTCACACACAAACATGCATACTGTTCCGCTCAGCGCTGACCTTGTCATTGGTCAGCGGCACTGCTGAGGTCGGGGAAAACCATGTATCACTTTCTTATACAAGCACTTACCGTATGCACTGGGGCTGTTTCCACAATTCCACACAAATATCTTTTGTTGCCAAGTTATCCATCATCTATGTTTCATGGTGTGTGTGTGTGTGTG